TCAGCAGGAGCCTTGTGCATCGCAGTGGCCCCAAGCCTGGGGCTTGGGTACCTAAAATGGGAACTTCAGACATCTAATGTCTTTTGTGCATGTACAGCCTATGTCTCTCAGGCATCTTTGGAAATCAGAGAACCCTCAGTGGTTTGCGCTGATGGCTAAAACACTTTACAAATTACTGAATTTTTCAAGTTAAAGTGAGTATGTGAACAGACAGAAAACCAAACAATATATCACCACCACATGTACTTCCCCCATTTATTGAAAAGGTTTAGTTTTAGGAAAGCAAGGCAGTCTCTTGTATTGGACAAGCTTCCGTTGGTGGAAGAGACAAGCTATTGAGCTTTTTCAGAATTTTTTCTCAGGTCTGGAAAAGGTGACCAAACTAAATACAAGCTGGAACAGTTTGTTAAGTATAAGGGGTTCACACAAGCTGTATGACACCACTTAAAATGAAGTGGGCAATTAAGGGTTAGCAGGCAATTTCTCCAGAACCAAGGAAAAGCTTTGTGAAGCTCAAAAGCTTGTTCGTTCTACCAACAGACATTGGTCCAATAAGAGATATTACTTTAGGGTGTGTCTAGACTACAGAGTTTTGTCGACAAAAGAGGACTTTTGTCGACAAAACTATACCTGCGTCCACACTACTGCTGAGTTCTGTCGACATAACGTCGACAGAACTCAGCAGTTTTGTCGACACTGGTAAACCTCATTTTACGAGGCATAACGCCTTCTGTCGACAGAGTTTCTGCCGACAGAAGGTGTTATTGCATGTAAACTGTCCTTTGCGTCTACACTACCATGTCGACAAAGCAGCTTGCTTTGTCGACAGAACTGAATGTAGTGTAGATGCTCTTTGTCGACAGAAGTTTTGTCGACAGTATCTGTCTACAAAACTTCTGTCGACAAAAGCCTGTAGTCTAGACGTACCCTTACTGTCTAGTATCCTTCATAATCTGGGACCCACAGAGCTACAGCAGCACAGCTTTAGTTTTAGCTAGTGATGATAAGCTGTGTAGCAGGAAAGTATATATTTTGCAAAAATTGTCTTACTCTTGGATATCATTACAGCACTTGGGAATTTTGTTTTTGCTGGACCTGGTGGTGAACAGCCTTGTGTCTTGGATATGCATGCAAATGATGGATTGTGGATTGATGAGCTACAAGTTAGGAAGTTTGCCCTCTGATTTCCATTTCTGTTTTCCTGTTTCATTTTAAAATTGTCTTTTTAATTGTCAGTAAAGGAAAAAGTGAAATGGCTCTTTCTAGCCAGAAAGCAATCTCTAAGAAAGAGATCCATGGAGTTTTTCCTGGAAGCTGCATGTTATACAACAGAATTTTACAGGTTTGTTCTCTCTCTTTCTCTCTCTACCATAGGTAATGATACAGCTCCCATTACTGCATTATACAAGTGCCTTCCAGACACGAGTGTGAAATAGGAGGTTTATCTGAGCCAAAGTGCAGAGTTGTCAAAAGAACTTAAAGATCTTAGGAGTAAATGTCCCCTTTTCCAAAGTCATTTGGGCGCACAACAGAATTTTACAGGTTTGTTCTCTCTCTTTCTCTCTCTACCATAGGTAATGATACAGCTCCCATTACTGCATTATACAAGTGCCTTCCAGACACGAGTGTGAAATAGGAGGTTTATCTGAGCCAAAGTGCAGAGTTGTCAAAAGAACTTAAAGATCTTAGGAGTAAATGTCCCCTTTTCCAAAGTCATTTGGGCGCCTAGGAGCTTAAGTTTCATTGAAAGTCCATACTCACTTAAGTTATTTTGAAAATGTTATCGTTGAGAGATTAAGTGGTTGTCCCAAGACCATGCAAGATCTTTGGTGGAACCTTCAGTTGAAGTAAGATCTCTTGAATCCCAATCTCATGCCTTATAACCACAAGACCATCACACCTTCTTGAAACTGCAGACTTCTCTCTCTATCAATTTGAGAGCTATGTGGGTGATATCAAACTTTTCCTGATGTTACCCAGTCCTTTGAAATGATTTTAGATACCGGTCATGTGGCACTGAAAGGGTTCAAGGAGCAGCAGGTATCTGTTGAATGAATCTGTGGAAAGGGAAGCAAATGAAATATGGTAGGTGAGATTCAGGGCAATGTGGAGGGAGGATTGGGATGTGTGGCAAGCTTGTTAGAAAGTGGAGGGACTCCATGCAGAAGGAGGAACAAAGAGAGAAAGAGAGATCTCATAGTGGTCAGGTGGAGGGATGGCTCAACAGCTGAAGATGATGTGCCTTTGCAAATGAAATCTCTGGCTTTTGTGATGTTCACTGGGCCATAACCAGAAAGGAAGACAATAGGGAGGACTAGGCTATTAAGAATATTGACATATTGGGCCAGTTTCACTTTTGGTATATTCTGTTTCTGCCCGAAGAATGTTCTTTAGAGGTGTGTGTGGATAGAGCTAGAGAAAAATTGGTGCAACCTCCCTTGAATGCATGAGGGGGCCAGCAACCCCTTCCCCTCAAATGGTTAGGGAAAAGGATGTAGCTAGGATAGCTGGAGAATTGTGCTCAATCAGCCATACACTGCTGAGGCATGCTGAGCTATGTTAACTCTATAAATTAAGCAGGGGTGAAGCAAGCATGGTTTAATACATGTTAGCCTAACTTGCTAGTGCACAGACACATTGTCTGTTTTTGTATGCTCTAATGAGGCTGTGTGTGCGCACAGGTCCTTTATCTGGGAGACACAATACAGGTATCTGGGCATGTGCCCTGTAGTTTGCAGTGCCAATCAGGGCTCCCTTGAATGCTGTACCAAGCAGAAATTGAAGTTACCTCCAGCTACAGTAATCTCTCATCACATGTTGAGGATGCAGACACTGGTAGTTCTTTCCCAGGGGATGAGCCCCTGCCTTGATGCAGAATGAATTGTGCTTCATTGTTTCTCCCAGAACCAGATTGGGTGAAGTGGTGTTGATTGGTCTGTCTACCTATGCATTTAACTTTCTCTCTAATCCGTTTGTTGGTTTTCTGTAGTATCAGTCCTAAGGGCCATTGTGTATAATTGCAGGATTACAGTGAAAGAAATAAATACTAGAAATGGTGGAGAGAAATGTCAACATATTTAGGTCATGTTAGGTTTCAGATAGAGGGCTGCCTACTTCATTCTATGACAATTTTTAAAAAGTAATGAAAAATCAAAAAGTGTTTCTCACGTTAACCTTGTGTGTGTGTTGTCTTGTGTTTCCAGGGATTTCTGTAAACATTTACCAGCAGGTTGTCTATTTCTCAGAGGGAAATTCTATCTGGGTGAAAGGAGCTGCCAGCATGTCTGATGTGTCTGATCTGAAGCTCTTTTATGCTGGCCTGGGGAAAATTACATCCATCTCAGTAGACTGGCTTTATCAGCGGATGTACTTTGTCATAAATGGAAAGGTTGGGCTCTAGAGTTTAATTTCCTTCTTAACAATTATGAACAGCTACTAATGTGTGACCTATCTTATACAGGGCAAAAAGGAATTCCGGGATTATGGTTGGGATGTTTGGTGGACTGTTTACTATGATAATGTTTTTATTTTTAATGTGATTTTTTTTGTCATAGAAATAGAACAAAATAGTCATAGAATCATAGAATACTAGGACTGGAAGGGACCTTGAGAGGTCATCGAGTCCAGTCCCCTGCCCTCATGGCAGGACCAAATACTGTCTAGACCATCTCTGATAGACATTTATCTAACCTACTCTTAAATATCTCCACAGATGGGGATTCCACAACCTCCCTGGGCAATTTATTCCAGTGTTTAACTACCCTGACAGTTAGGAACTTTTTCCTAATGTCCAACCTAAACCTCCCTTGCTGCAGTTTAAGCCCATTGCTTCTTGTTCTATCCTCAGAGGCCAAGATGAACAAGTTTTCTCCCTCCTCCTTGTGACACCCTTTTAGATACCTGAAAACGGCTATCATGTTCCCCCTCAGTCTTTTCTTTTCTAAACTAAACAAACCCAATTCTTTCAGCCTTCCTTCATAGGTCATGTTCTCTAGACCTTTAATCATTCTTGTTGCTCTTCTCTGGACGCTCTCCAATTTCTTCACATCTTTTTTGTAATGCGGTGCCCAGAACTGGATACAATACTCCAACTGAGGCCTAACCAGAGCAGAGTAGAGCGGAAGAATGACTTCTCGTGTCTTGCTCACAACACACCTGTTAATGCATCCCAGAATCATGTCTGCTTTTTTTGCAACAGCATCACACTGCTGACTCATGTTCAGCTTGTGGTCCACTATAACCCTTAGATCCCTTTCTGCCGTACTCCTTCCTAGACAGTCACTTCCCATTCTGTATGTGTGAAACTGATTGTTCCTTCCTAAGTGGAGCACTTTACATTTGTCTTTATTAAACTTCATCCTATTTACCTCAGACCATTTCTCCAATTTGTCCAGATCATTTTGAATTATGTCCCTATCCTCCAGAGCAGTCGCAACCCCTCCCAGCTTGGTATCATCTGCAAACATAATAAGCGTACATTCTATGCCAATATCTAAATTGTTGACGAAGATATTGAACAGAGCCGGTCCCAGAACAGACCCTTGTGGAACCCCACTAGTTATACCTTTCCAGCAGGATTGTGAACCATTAATAACTACTGCCTGAGTACGGTTATCCAGCCAGTTATGCACCCACCTTATAGTAGCCCCATGTAAGTGGTATTTGCCTAGTTTATTGATAAGAATATCATGCAAGACCATATCAGACACCTTACTAAAGTCTAGGTATACCACATCCACCGCTTCTCCGTTATCCACAAGACTCGTTATCCTATCAAAGAAAGCTATCAGATTGGTTTACCATGATTTGTTCTTTACAAATCCATGCTGGCTGTTCCCTATCACCTTGCCACCTTCCAAGTGTTTACAGGTGATTTCCTTAATTACTTGCTCTATTATCTTCCCTGGCACAGAAGTCATATCTGCTTCTACTCCAGTCTGCGGAAGTCTTGGGCTACATTAAAAGTAAACTGATTGCTTAGAATTCCAGCTTCTTAGCTAATTTTTATTCTTGTGAAAGAAAAAGTTATGTCATTTCTGACAGACTCCGCCTGTAGCTCATGCCTTTGGTGGCAAGTCACTTAATCTTTACAACTCAATTCCTCATCTGTACAGTGCTTTCTTACTGTACCTTGCAGGGGTGTTATGAGAATTAGTTAATGATTACTTTGCACTTTGCAAATGATAAGAGATGGCTAAATATTTTCTTGTGATGATGAAGGTGATGCAGGCTCATAGCAGTTTTGTTCAGAGATAGTAAGCTTGTATTTAATTCCTCGCTAGTGAAACTTTAATGATTTTAGTGCTGAGGTCCTTGGTCTGGCTCCTTTGCTCCTCTCATACATATGAGACAAAGGGAGAGAAAGCTGCCCTCGATGGGGGTTTGTTGTGCCAATGCCCAGCCCCTCCACTTAGTGCGTAGGGTGTTTATAGGTCAGGAGGAAATGTTGCCAGAGATATCTGCACTCTGGAAGCCCTAGTTTAAAACAATGGCCGTAGGAGTCCATTGCAGCTGATGTACGGTAGGAAAGTTTGGAGGCCAAACTGGTCCCAGTCTGCTTGCAGGACAAGCGCAAAGGTAGTTATAGATCACCTCTCCTCCTCCCATCAGGTCCTGCTCAAAGCATGGCTGGGCCACAAATCTGGCTTTTCATTTTCCTCCAGTTTGAAGACCACTAAGTAAGTGGAGAATGAATGGAAAATTCCTTCATGGTAACACTTAAAGGATGTACCTGGGCTTGGCACACTGAGTGCCCTTCATAATTGAATGACTGAAAACATATAGGTCCTCGGAGTTGCCATAAGTTTTTGCCTGTCTCCCTGATAGGATGCCCAGGTCATGTTCTACTCATCAGTAAAAATCTTACTAATACACAAATGCCTTTCTCTTTATTTTGATTCCCCAGGTATGTGTCTGTAATTTAGAGAACTGCACAGTTGTGGAAGATCTTACTTCTCCTTCTATTACCTCCCCTAAGAAAATTGTAGCTGATCCATATAATGGGTAAGTTTTTTTTCTCCTTTGATCTGTTGGTGTCACATGTTCCGTTGGTCTCTTTGGCAATCGTCTTCACTTAGTTAGCCACCCAAGTACTAACCTCTTGATAAACTGGCCCTCCCCTCAGTTATATGGATGGCCAAGTTTGCTCCCTTGTTATTCTTCAGCACGCTCATTTCTCATCACTTTTGATTTGTTTCAGACAACGTATGAAGTTAAAAAAGACATTGAATTCTTTCATCAACCCAGTTGTTTGAGTTTTAAATGTTTGTGCATAACAGTGGATGTATTATTTGAATGCTCTTTTCATTATTCTGATCATTATTATTTGTAGAACTAGATTAACCAGGAGCATTACTGGTGGGTTAGGACCCTATTGTGCCAGGCACTGTACAAACACAACAAAAGACAGTGTCTGCCCCCAATGGGTTTATAATCTAAGAATAGGACAAGAGACAACAGATGGCTACTAATGGAAGTTGTGGAAACAAAGAGGCAAGTCTCGATCACAGGGCCGGCCCGAGCCATTTTAGCGCCCCGG